CTCGAGAACGTAGTGGAACAATCGTAAGCATGTAATCGTACCAACGGTGTGATTCAAAGAATACATAGAAAGGGAGAGAGAAAGAGAATCCGATTAAGTCAAACGACAGCTGATCCTTTAAGCGTGGACATAAGTCAATAAATACGTTGGACGAAGCATCTTTGATGCCTCCTTTTGATGAAATCTTCTTCTTTGCTAAAATCATATGCGAGAGAATTGAGAAACGGAAGAGAAATAACCTCATACCTGTATACTCTTCTCTTCCTCTTCTCTCACTCCCTCTCGCCCTCTGCATCCCCTACACACACACACACACACCCTCGTGTAATTTTCTTCACGCGATTCGAATGCAACAAACGAAAATACATGTATATTCACGAGATTAACCACATATGTACGTCAACTTGGTCGAGTGTTTGTCGACCTTATTCGTTTTTTTCGTCTTCGTGTTCGTTTTCATCTTCGTCTTCGTCTTCGTCTTCGTCTTCGTTTTCTTGTCTTCTTTCTTGTAAATTGCACCATATGCGAACGAACATTGACGTCTTGCGGTTTGTCGCCCTTTCGTGATTTTCTTTTTGTTTCTTTTATTTATTTTTTTTTTTTTTTTTTTTATTTTTCTTCCTTTCTTTATCCTCAGTTTTCTTTACTCCTTTTCATATGCATAGCCATTGATGATCAATCGAAAATCTCGTTACCAATCGAACGAATTTTTTCTTTTGTACAAATTTTTACCTCCTTCTTCTTTTCTTTTTTGTTCTTTTTTCTATACCACGTGAATTTACATCGTAAACGCGTAAATAATTTTTATCGATTTTGTAAAGGAAGTCGTTCGTCGTTATTTTCTATTTTTTCTTTTTCCTTTTTTTTTCTTTTTTTTTAATTTGTTTGGAAAAATTTTTGTTTCTGCTCTAATCTGCCATCGACGTTTAATTGATGGGCCGTCACTCGATTTCGTTTCACAAAATATCTTTCAATACCTAAATAATTAATATTTGAAGAAATCTTCAGAGATGTATGTAATTTGTACATCGAAATATGTCTTTTGTTAAAATTTTGGAAAGTGTAGAAAGTGGTTTTTCCACTGTAAAAAATCAGTTATTATATATATACCCATTATATTATGTAGATACCCATCATGAAAGTATTACCTGCAATGATAGATTTTACTAATCGTGTTTTACAATTTACAACCGTGAAAAGAATAGTAGTAGACAGGTATACCAAAATATTTGATGTGAGACTAATCCTCTAGAAAATTTATATTGCTCGGTTTATAAATTATTGACCGGCCAAAGATCAGAAATAATAAAAAAGAAAATTGATTGAAATATCTAATAAATTAAAAAAAAAAAACATACAGGATATTCCATAAGAAAAACTAAAAATCATTAATTTTCTGATTTAACCGAAAGTTTATATATATACATATATATATATATATATATATATATATATATATATATATTTATATATATATATGTATGTATGTATGTATCGACAAATACATATATTTTTTCTATAGCTTTTTAGCTTATATATAAATATCCATAAATTGGACTTTTTTGTTTGTTCCTTGTTTTCTTTCATTGTTTCGATTTATCGATAGATATTATCAATTTATTTGTGGTTACATTCCTTCTAAACCGTGCACCTGACGCGTGAAAATTTCGAAGGTAGAATGCGAGGGCGGTTAGAACGGTCAGGTGAACTATTCTGATTCGAAGAATGAAAAAAATGGGTCTAACGTCGTAGTACCTGCGGCGGATCCATCTTTGAATGTAGTCGATGTTCTATGTATCTACGACAAGAAGTTGGAAGATGCAGTATAGAAAAGAAAAATACCTACGAAGAGAAACGAAAGACTTTTTTCCTCGAAAATTGCTGTTAAAGTAAAATAAATAATTATTTATATAACAATAATACATGAAAATTGTCATTACTTTTTTTTTTATTTTGCTAATCTTTTTTAACGATATGTATATCGTGAAATTTTGCCTTTTTTTCCGTCGGGACTATTTAAGTATTTACAAGTTTTCATATTTTTATATCCAACAACAACTTAACTTTCCACCCATACCCCACAACCCTACAGCTCACATTCCCTAGTCCTAATGTCGAAGGATAACTTTCTCTTTTTTCCTTTGCTTTTTCTTGAAGATTAGGTTGACTAAAATATGAATGGAAAAATACTCCTGTATTTTATTTCAATATGTATATTATTTCGATTTAATATAAGATTAAAAAATTATTCTATATTGAATGTAAATTTTTTTCCAAACAAAGATCGAATCTATCAACGATATTTTTCTTTTATTTTTGTATGATTTATATGCATACTTCCATATAAATTATAAGCATACTTGTTGTAAATGGATTTTTATCCAACTTTTTTTCTACGAAAAAGAGGACCCAAAATTTTTTTCTGTACACAATATTTATGTATCATGATAAAAGAAAAAAAAAAACGGAAAATATAGTTATTCTAAATTATTAATAAGCCCAAATCACAAAGTTCGGAGCAATAAAGAAATAAAATAAGAAATATCGATCTGTCAATTTCGAAAGTAAAAGAGGAATTAGATATTGGGGGAGGGAAAAAAAGGGTCTTGGCTGGGTTGATTTTGCACGTGCACTTGAAATGCACAGGTCAGTCAGACGGTGCAGAAACCGCGGCCCCCCCACAGCGAGTACCGTAAAGAAGTTACCGTGCATTCTCGTTGCTCCAATACGGTGTGCCCTGTGGATTAAGGGCACCGGTCCTTCCCATTGGTTATTCTTCATCCCTACCATAGATACAGGCCTCATATAAAAGGTGAGGCCCACCGGACGAGTTGGTTAGTCCTCCTCCAAGGCGACACGACTTTCAATCAGTCGTTCGACGACGCTCGAACGAGTAACAACTTACATCGGACTTCTTTTTTTCTGTCTTCTCTCTCCTCAATGTGTTTCGTGTGTTTCGTGTGTTTCGTGTGTTCATTCGATCGATCATTTTAGTCACGAATTGTAACTTAATAAATCACGTGTGCCGTTCGTCATATTTTGTGCAACAAAGTGCTAGAAGTTTTTACGTCGTTTCTCACTTAATTTAAATATCGATCACTTGTAATTTTTTCTTTTCTTTTTTTATTTTAACGATTAAAATTAGTGCCTGCTTGTTTGTCGATCAACGAACGTATCGACAAAAAGATAAAATTAGAAGAAGAACAATATGTTACGAGAAACAAATAGTATGCGCAAAATGATGAATATGGAAACATGTGAAGTGTGTAAATGTGCAAGGTATTGTTCTTTTTCGATTAAAAATCGTAAGAAATTCTATGATCGAGCTATATAAAATATCTCTCTCCCTCTCTCTTTAAATCTCTCTTTAAATCATCGTTATTTTATACATTTGGCCAACGCCACGAGATAGAAAGAGGAGAACACGATTTAGAGAAATTTTTTTTCAATTACGTTGAAGCCTTTGTGAATTAGCCTTCAAATAGAAATTTTTTTCAATTTAAATCAGAACAGTGTGTCTGTCGGTCGTGACGATTTTACTTGTGAATTTTATTCGTGAAAACTCGAGCCAGTGACTTTTTTTTCTTTCTTTCTTTTTTTGTCCTTTCCATTTTCTCACTTTTATTCATTTTCATGCAAATCGTACACATTTTAATGATCGTTGGTCCACGTTCGAAATTCTACGTTAATTTTGTTCTTTCGGAAATTAGAAAAAGAATGTGTTCTGAAAAGTAATTTAGAAAATTATATCTTCTGATGGAAATATATCGTTGGAAAAAGTGTTTTATTCAATATTTAATGATCTTACGAATACGAAATATATCGAAGTTATTAAAAAAAAATATATATATATATATTTCATATTTTTTGACACGTTCAATCGTTGTTACCTCCCAAATAATAAAAATCGTCGTTTGATTTCGCGCGTTCGATCGGTATTTGTTGTTTGGTTTCGCGCGTTTGATCGGTACTCGTCGTTCGGTTCCGTAAGTCTTCGTGTAATATCGTGTGCTCTATCTCTTTCTCTCTCTCTCTCCTCTCTTTTCCTTTCTCCCCCACTCGACGATTATTGCCAGTTGCGCGCCAACTCTCGGCACGAAAAGAAGCGTGGATTTTGTTCTAGCGATCGAACGGAGCACGGCCAAAAGTAGGAAGTCGGTGAAGTTTCTGAATGAAATATCGAGGGATACATACATACACACATATATATACATATAATATATATATATATATATGTATGTATATTCGATAAATAGGACTTAAATAGGATCTCGGTCTTCACCGGTACGAGAAGTGTGTTATAAAAAGAATTTTATTTGAAAAATGTATTAATCGATAATAGCACCGAAAGAGTTTTAGAATATTTTCCCCGACCTTGTCAATTCGCACGCTTAAGAAGGGAGGGGGAAGATAGGTGGGGGGAGGTTTAGGAGCGTGAGATCACGGACATATTGAAGCAATGAGAGCCTTGCGTGAATCAATTTTTCGTCGAGGAGAAAGATCATTTATTTCGCATATACGATACAAATGCTTGTATTCTTTTTTTTTTTTTTTTTTTTTTTCATATCTCGTTGCTTTAACTTGGACGCTTTCTCTCGACTCCTTACGCACAGGCATGCTTTGTTCCGCACGTATTGTTTGTTCTTCTTTCTTAGTTTATTTTATTTTTTTCCTTTTTGTTTTCTTCTTTGGTATATATAGCACTCTAATAGTACTATAGCATATATTATAGATCGTTTTAGACATTAATAACGGTATCAGGGTATTTTAGAAAGTTGTTTTCTTTTTTCCCTTTCTTTTTCTTTTTTTTCTTTGGAATGAACTTTGAGAGATATATAACAATTGGAGGTTAGTCGCTCGTGTCGTGCTTATCCCGCCAATTTTGATGAAAAAGTTCCATTTTTTCCTTTTCCTTTTTTCTTTTTGCAATCCAATATGTATAAGAAAAAAAGATATATAAGTATATATTAATTAAGAATATGTTTATCTCTTTATTGCAGTCTCTTCAAGAATGTATTTAGAATTAGAAGTACGCCAGAAAAAGAGGTAGCTCCTAAACCAAAAGCACGAAGATTAGTGGGCATGGCGGCACGAAGATTCGTCGGTCTTGAAACCTTCTCGCCATCTACCAACAAAGAAAATGGCACAGTTAATCGTAACATCAACTCTAGTCCGCAGAAAGTAAGAACGTTTTCTACATTATCGGCTGCATCGTTGAACACGATTAAGAAATTTCGCTTTTCTTTTTCTGTCTTTTTTTTTTTTTGTTTTTTTTTTTTTTTCAAGTGAAACAATGAATTAAATCGAAATTTTGTTTTTCATTCTCTCATATTTAATCTTGGCTACATTTTTTATTAGTATTTTACAAAGAGTCAATATTTTAATCAAAATATTTGTAAATGAAATAATTTTTCAATATCTTATAAATAAATGATTAGTATTTATAATAAACCTAAACGCAATTTTGACATTTTATTATTCGTATTGTCCGATCACATTACGTATTGATAATTTATTACAAACAATGATAAAAATATATACCGATCATTCATTTTACAAAATACTTATTGTTAATCAATAAAACTGCTGACCAAATAAATTGTTTTCTTTCCGTTTTATGCTTTGAAAAAAATTTCCATCCAATTTCCGTTCGAAGATACGTTAGACGTGATAATCGAAGTCTACCTGAAATTCTAAAATAAACGTCGCGTTAGATTAGAAGCTCTCTTTCTCTCTCTCTCTCTCTCTCGTTACGAGCGAACAGTAAAATACAGCTGTCCGTTGTTAAGAAATTTCCTAACGATATCGTTTGTTTCGGAAGTAAACAAAAAGAAAAGTGTCACATCGATAGATCGGGAAAAAAAAGAAAATAAAAGATCCCGAAAAGATATGGGAACGTGCGTATGTTTTGACAATTATAGTTCCATAGTCAAATTGGTCTCGCATGCAGCTTTCAGATTTTCCATAATCGTATGCGCGACACCTTGCTATCTATCGACGGGTGCAGAACTTGCTACCGGAAAAAAGAGAGAGGGAGAGAGAGAGAGAGAAAAGAAATACATATATATATATATATGTACACATATGTATCCTCTTTCTTAAATCAGCTTTGAATTTAAAGGGAACAGGAAATACGTACTATCAGCTGCTATCATTTCGATTAAGAACAAAAAAAGAAAACACTGAAGTATTTTATTCTTAAAAAACGTTGTGCTTTGTTACAGATAAATGGAAGCAAACGGTCACGCTTCCCTCTCGAAGATTGCGACTCGAACAACCAGGATAACAGCTATGGAGTTAATTTGCACGAAAGAGATACACGTACTGGATTTCAATTTGCGGAACCTCTTGGCGTGCCACCAAGACGTATAAACGTCGCAGAAGCTCGAAGTCCCATACAATCACCTATAAGATCATCGCCTCGTGAATTATTAACGGATCCGATGATCTTCCGTAGTTTGTCATCGGGATACGAGAGTATGGATGACGATTTAAACGATCTTATGGATTTGGACGCTTTGGACGAAGCAACGCATTTACCAAATGGCCTTACGAGTTTATTATCCGGTAGTATAGTTGGATCAGAAATAATGGAATATGCTATAATAACAACACCGGAGTATCCTCGTACAAAAGTGAAACGTTCATTTCGACGTTCTATGTCATTACAAAACGACCGAAATAATCCGCAGTCGTCCGTATCGAAAGTACGTTCCTGTCTATTTCGTTCGCCCTCGACAACCTGTTCAACTCGTAAACTAACATTCGACGACAATACACAAACGCGTAATCCATCTTATCCGAATGTGGACTCACCGCCGGAAACGAGATCGTTTAAAAGACCAGATCCACCAGCCGAACATAGTCCTCGATTAGTCAAGAGGTCTAGGATATCGGTTGACTTCCAACATATACCGGAGGACGTTGAATTGGAGATATCGTCCAAACAGACAACTTACGTAACGGAGATCGAAACGAAGCTAGTCAAAAAATCAATCAAGTCAAATTGTTTGGAGAATATGCCAGAAAGTGTAGAAACGTGTGAGCCTATTAAGGAAACCTTGGAGAATGTTTTTGGCGATAGTAAAACACATGCCATGATCAAATCGGCGATACACCGTAGCGTAACCGACGCCGATCTTACAGGTGACTTTAGTAAACCTTGCATTTTACCTCTTGCCGAGGGTCGACACGATGATCTTAAATCAATCTCCGTTGATACCTTGGCAGCATTGATGCGTGGTGATTTTGAAGAGTACATTGATTCCTTCATTATCGTCGATTGCCGATATCCTTACGAATACGAAGGTGGACACATCCAAGGTGCACTCAATCTTTACAGCAAGGAATTGATCGAACAACATTTAATCGATCCATTGACCAACGTACCGGAGATACAGCCCAATTCGTGCAAACGTCGCATTCTCGTCTTCCATTGTGAATTCTCTTGGGAACGTGGACCAAATCTTTCCCGTTTTCTACGTAATATAGATCGTCAACGTAACAAGGAACATTATCCCGCCCTTCATTATCCGGAAGTTTATCTACTACACGGAGGTTATGAACAGTTCTATAAGGAACAAAGAAACCTTTGCTCGCCACAAGGCTACAAACCAATGTCGGATCCGAATCACGAGGCCGATCTCAAACAATTCCGTGTTAAGAGCAAAAGTTGGCAATCTGAAAAACCTGTAAGCAGAGTTAGTGGACTCATGGTTAGAACGAATATCAAGCGTTTAGGTTTTTGAGATATTCTTTTTTCTTCTTCTTCTTCTTCTTCTTCTCCTTCTTCTTCTCCTTCTTCTCCTTCTTCTTCTCTAACCTTCCTTCCTTGAATCTCTTCGTGTTCTTTTGTCAAGATTACTTGGATGCACTAAGGTGACTTCGACACTATATTGCAAACAAAGATCTATATTCTCTTCTTTATTTTTCTATTCTTCTATTTTATTTAACTTTCTTTTCTTTTCTTTTCTTTTTTTTGTTTTTTTATTTTTCACACATCGGGATTGAACGCGGCGCGAGTTTCGTTTCTTGTTTCTTTTTCTTTTTTCTTCTTCTTCTTTACGCCTTCTTTCTCCGCATATTATGCAATCGCGCGTTCAAAGTGCAAGAGGAGCAAGGAATCGAGTTTTCCTTGCTCGCGAAACTATATGTGAGTCCTGTGAATCGTCAAGTGTCTAATTCGAGATTATAATATCTTATAGAGACTCTTCGCGAAGAGTTCCTTTTTCTTCTGTTTTTTTCCTCCCCCTTTTTTCTTTTTTTTTCTTTTCCTTTTCTTTTTTTTTCTGTATATATGTTCTTCCGTACAAGTTAGATTTAGATTATACATAAACGAGAGATAACCATCGAAAAGAGAGAGAGAGAGAGAGAGAGAGAGAGAGAGAAAAGAAAAAAAAGATAATAACACCAATTAAAAATGCAACACAAACAAAACAAATTAGAAAATGGGGGCGCGCGTTTCTTTCTGGGGAAAAAAAATAATTGTCAATATATTATTATTAAGTTAATTGTAAGGAAAAAATTTTTCGTCGAGTTTTATGAAGAGGGGGAAGAAAAGAAAAACAAGCATTCGATAGGATAATAAATTCCTTTGTGTTAAATCCAAATCCGGCGAAATAATGATCAAAGATGCAATAGCTCCATCCTGATCTACTTACGAAATGATGGTGGAGCGGCGTGGAGCCATAAGAGAGTCAAATGTGTCACAAATCTTTAATGCTTCAATCATTAATTCCGGGCGAGCATCCCACTTGTACACTTAGACACTCTACTCTCTTATGACTTTACGATGTAAAAGTGTTTTCACTCTATCATCATTGTTTATTTTAGAAAAATAACTTTGCTGTAGATGTTGTGTGTGTATGTGAGAGAGAGAAAGAGAAATAGAATGAGTATATATATGCGTGTATGTATGCCTGTATGTCTGTATGTATGCGAGAGAGGGAGAGAGAGAAGGAAGATGAAAAATGTAGTATTTTGTTATCGTCATTGAGCGTTCTCGTCTCGACAGACGATACGACCAAAGTATTTCCTATTTAGCGAATTTCTAGGTTAATTATCTCTTCTTTTTTGACGACATCTATTGCGTTCAAAATGGCAGGGTATGCATGAACAAAATGGATGACACGAGTATTCCTAAATGTGCAAAGTTCCCAATGTTATAATGTAAAAATTATTCCATGTTAAATATACATTGTAAGCTAAACTCTATATTAATTTTACGTATATTAATTTTATGTTATTTCCCTTTAAAACGATCTATTAAACCTCTTCTTTTTTTTTCCTTTTATTTTTTTCCTCTTTTTTTTTTTGTGGTCGAGGAGACAATGAAAAATATGATATTCTTAAAATCAGGATACAAAGATCTTATAGTTTATAACGAATTTGGAAAAAAAAATTAGTCATATGCTAAAGTTAAAATTCTAATATAATTTTAAATTAGATACAGATATTTGTGTATAGATAAACCATGCATATTTTTAACACAAAGAGATCTTTAAATTTATTTAAGTCTTCTTAAATAAAAAAAATAATTGAAATATAGACAAGAGTTTAAGAATTTTATGATTAATAACAAAATGATTTTCTCCAAGATATAAGTACTTAGATATTACTCGTTAAGAATATTATTTATTTAATTTAATTAAGTCTTAACATTTAAATAAATAAGTATAGAAAATATTCTATAGAGCCTCAGGAATGTTATAATATTCTAAAAGTTCATAAAATGTTTATAATAATTAATAATTTTATTATTAATTGCCGTAATAGATTAATTCAGATAAGAGATTAAATAGCACTAATTAATAATATAATTCCTTTAATTTCGGAAAATAGATCCGTTCTCAAGATAAAAATATTAAAATCCACTGATGTTCTGAGAGAGTTTATCGGGGAGAATTTGAAGGTGGAGAAGTTGAAGAGTAAGGATCAGGCGAATATGTGGAGTGCGACCAATTTGAACATTGTCCATGTAAGGAATAAGGTGACTTGAAGGTTGCTTGTTGCATTTGATAATTTTTTAATTCATATTCGTTTACAAGACCAGCAATTTTCCCTTTAATTTCTATTTGAATCGGTAAGGAAAAGGTCCTAACTGTTTCCTCCATAGCCTTGAAAAAAGCAGTCAAAGGGTCAGTCTGAGCGACAAATTCATTGTTCTTTTTACTCTCGAAATTATCTTGTGGCATTTGCCCTATCGAAGAATGATTGGCATCTTTATCGTTATCTTTTTCGATCGGAGTGCGACTTGTTACCTTAGATAAGGATTTTCGCTTATTGATAATCGTCTGTTGGGACTGATCATTAGATTGCTGTACTCCCTGTGGTGCAATTTCCATTTCTTTCTTGATATCACCGACATTGATATCTGAGTCCTCTAACGAAATCGTCTGACTGATAGAGTCATTGCTCTCCTCAAAATTAAGTGTTAGATTTGAAACTTGATTCCTTTCTCCAATATGCGGAATGATAAACGATATTATATTTTCATACTTCCAAGGTCGTTTTAGTTTAGCCGCCTCTCCAGACATATTCCTTCTTTTCTTATATACCTTACGAAAACTGTCTCGAAGTGCAATCCATCTTTTTCTGCAAATTATGGCTGAAATAAAAGAAAAGAAAAGAAGAAAGAATTAAAAATTGAAATAATAATAAGCAAACGTGCATTTATTCTTTTATAATTACAAAAGTTCATTTTACCAGTAGGGATCGTACATACATATGCGAAAAAAAATGAAGAAATAAAATGTGCGTATCTGTGTGTTTTATAAATTTCAAGATAAGTTTCCAAACCAACATCTATGTAAGACTCCATTTCTACAGTAAATAATATACTGTACAAATTTGTACTTTATACAATTTTAAAGTTCTTAAGTAATTTACGAAGATATAATACGTCCAAAGAAATATACGATATGATTAAAATATAGTAAACGCAATACTTTTTATAAATGATATATAATATACATATTTTTACCTGTCGAAGAATCAAATTTTTCTGATATTCGTTGCCATGCATTGTCCTTTTTCCTATTATCATGGTACCCAGGATCTGAGACGTCGTAAAGGAATGGGTATTCCCGCACTGATTCTATGAGAAGTTCATCCGTGTTCATTTTGACAAAATTAAAACATTAAATTATAGAAAAGATGTACAACTTTATGTGGCTAGAACCGTACTAGTCGTTTGAGGTGAAATAATGCTATATATTCTGGCTGTTCCGTTTCTGTGCCGACCTGTGCCGAGCCGTGCCGTGCGTTCATAGTCAGTTACGATCCATTTAAATCAATACAAAGCAAAGTGGCTGGTGCCGTGCTGTGCCGTGGTGTACCGTGTTATCCGTTCATAATGGGTTTCCTGCTTTAATAATCACAATAGTTTCGGAGTAGTGTCGATCCTCTACGCTTCACCAAAAAAGTCGAGTAAAAAAAAGCATGGAGACACACAAACTCTCTTTCTCAGTTCGCACACACACACCCACACACACACACACACATATATGTACTGGCTACACGCTCACCTATATTTATAATTTTAAGCATCTCTCATACCTGACAATCTTACAATTGAGGGGTTGTTAGGAAAATGGTTACTTCTACGAAAGTATCGTCTAATGATGTAAATTTCTCCTCTTTATTACTTTACTATTCTGATATAAGGTATACTATAATTTTATTATTGTAGTAATATAACTTTTAATATATAAACACAGATAAACACAACTAGTCAACGCTATTACAAAAAAATATTATTTTTGACAAAAGAACTATAGTACTATAGTACATTATCCATAAATCGAAAAATAAAGAAAATTACATTATAATCTTCGTTTATTTTTCATTACGTTAGGCGTCCATTCAACGTGCGTTATCCGTCCGTTAAACGTGCGTCAGACGTCCGTTCAACGCTTCCCACCTATTTTGAACAGGAGAATATGACATACCAGGAGATGGCACGTTCTCGCGTGCCACCTCTTCGCTCGTCATATGATCCTGATACAAATCCAGTTTTACGGGAAAAATTTTCACATGTCCAGTAATTTGGATTTTTGAACAGGAGAATATAACTTACCAGGAGGTAGTGCGCGAGAACGTGCTACCTCCTTGCAAGTCATATGATCCTGATACAAATCCAGTTTTACGGGAAAGAATTTTGCGGTCCCTGTAATTTGGATTTTTGAACAGGAGAATATGACATACCAGGAGATGGCACGTTCTCGCGTGCCACCTCTTCACTCGTCATATGATCCTGTTACAATTCCAGTTTTACGGGAAAAATTTTCGAAGGCCCAGTAATTTGGATTTTTGAACAGGAGAATATAACTTACCAGGAGGTAGTGTGCGAGAACGTCCTACGTGCGTTAGACGTCCGTTCAACGTGCATGAGGTGTCCGTTCTACGAGCGTTAGACGGGAGTTCTAGGGGCGTTAGAAGGCAGTTCTACGTGCTTTAGACATCAGTTATATGTGCGTGAGTCGTCAGTTTAACGTGCGTCATTTGTCGTTCGTCTATATCGATTCTATACTCGACAAATCTGATCAAACACTCACTCTTTAGTGAATATTCAGAAAATATTTTCATAAATTAGTCACTTTATCAATCTGACATATCTTTGTCCCTATTTATCGATGGTTTCACATATAAAATCTGCTATTATTGGCATTTGGAACAGTCCTTCGTGCTCACCTACTCTTTGTACCGTGTAATGATTTTTACACATTATTTTTGTTTCACTAAAGGATCAAAAATATATATATCTTAACTGTAATTTTGATCTGTGTTGTGTATTTTTTATATATAGATTTATAATTGCTAGCTTTATGATAAGTATGTAATCCGATTTTCATTTGGTATTTTATCAGTAATTTATTCAGTTCTTTTAATTCGTCTTGATAATTTTTGAAAGTCTCAAGTCATTACTTTTTCAGCGTCATTTATTTTTTCATGCAAAAGCGATAGCGTGCTCCTGAATCTAATAATAGTTGTCGACTGATTGATAATGCGTATAATATGCCTAACAATAGGCACGAATATGAATATGAGATATTCATTTCAATCCTCTTAAAGGAAAACTATTTCTTATTTTAAAATAAGTTATTTATTCAGGTACATTAAAACATATTATACAATGAGAAAACTAAAAGATATGAACTCGTGAAATAAAATATGAAAATAATTAATGTAATTCTTCTAATATTCAGATTTTTCAGACGACGATGTGGACGAAGAAAAATGCTGGGATTGTTGTATATTTTCCAATGTTGTTGTATGCCGACCGGCGGAATGATGCGTCTGATAGTAATCACTTGGATTACAGTCATGCATCTTGTAGTTATTTAATTGAACATTCGTTTGCGGCCGTTTTAAATCCGGAAAATTGTCTGTGAATTGAGCCGATTCAATTAATTGTATTATTTGAATTTTCGTTAAGGACTTTTTATGCTCGGGAATTTTTTTAAATGATGACAAAAGTGACAGTAGAAACATGCGGTCTTCATCTTCTTCCAAAGTTTCTCTCCATGTTCGGCCGCCCATGGATGTTTGTAAGATATTTATTAATTCCTCATTTGTATTATCTGTAGACTTTTTTCTAAACTTTGTAGTGTGTCTTGAATATGGTCCTAATGTACCATCTTCGATTTGGTCATTCTCCTCATAGACGTTTTCTGTATTTGTGTCTACATTTATATTTTTTAAAAATTGAAGCTGATTATAAAAGATGTAAGGACTTTTACGTGAGGCTGGAGATAGACTGTTGGCATTTTTCATTCTTCGTACTTCTCTCGAGAAGCAACTTCTTAAATTTTTCCATCTTTTTTGAAGATTTAAACCTGTCACGTAAAATATTATATTTTAAAGAACATTTGTTTTATGGTTTAAGATATTTGACGTATCGTAGGAAAATTATTTATTTACAAAATTTTTGTATTCACTATCAAGGAAATAATTAAGAAAGTTTGCCATTTCATACGGAAGGAATGGACTATGTGGAATATGTGGCTACTTCTATTTACCTATTTCGATAAGGTGAAAGAAAATGACCGTCACTATTTGGCACCGCCATGTCTAATAAGTTACATAGCTTTTGTTTATATTTGGAGTGGCGATTAATGTACTTTCTAAAAAATTACATACTGGTAGACGGTCCAAAAAAGGCCAATTTTTACGACTTTTTTTGCATTTAATTTATTTTATTAATAAAAACAATCATTAAATATATGTGATAAAGTGGAACTTTGAAGAATATTTTCCAACAGAAAAAAAAATAAAATAATTCGTTATCTTTTAAATGTTATCAATGTCGAACTAAACAGAGTCATTTCGTACGGCGTTTACGCTATCAATATCTTCGTAAGGTATTATCAAAAATGAGAAAAACATTTAAAATACATTTTAAAAACTAATCGTTTACAAAGCCGATTTTTTATATTTTCATTTAATTAAAAAAAATATGAGCTATTGAATTTATCGTACAATTTTCGATATAATTAAATTGTACACTAACATATATATATATGTATATGCTAATAATACGTGAAATGCTGAATTCGCCGAAAAGGTCGACTTAGAATGACTAACTTTGTAAATTTTTGTAATTTTTTAATGATATTTTCAAAGAATATTCATAAAGGATAATATTATTGTCGAATAAAAATATTTATAAAAAACCGATTTTTTTTTTAACTTTCTAAGTATATACGACCATTTACTTTAACTCTATTATTTAAAGAAAAAGAATATTCAATGAGGGATACTGCCGTGCTCGGTCCCGACATATACAATGCACAATTGGTTTTATTAACTAAAATTTTTTCGTATATCTTTGCAATGTTAACAATTGTAAACCTTTTAATTAATGTTACAAAAATCTGGGACATTTTTTAGAATTATGTCCGAGAAAAAAAATGGATATAGATTTGACATGGCTCTATTAATTATCCCTATTTAAAATTGTAATATCATCGTGCTAGAGAAATATCTATGTTTGCAAATTACTTTATGAATAAAGCTCGATTGAATTGGTAAGATAAGAAAAATTTGATAATTTCATGATATTAATAAGAACACTTAAAATATACTCAATATATACATAGATACATACATACATACATATATATATATATATATATATATATATATATATATACATAATTTATTTTATTTACTTACCAAATTCCTTTTTCTCCTTTTCAGTAAAATCTTCACTTGCAAATAAATTAATTATCTCTTCCCATTGGGCTTTTTTAATTTCTCGATTGGTATAGTCATTGCAAGATGAATCCCAAATTGCCTTGTGTGCTTCAATTTCTAAAATAAATTTTTCCGTATCGAAGTTCATTACAAGGGTTGTTATGTACTCTGTTGAACGGTCGCCGGCGACCAAAGGTCGTCGGCAACCAAAGATTTCGCAAGAAAATATTATGAGAATTCCTGAACAAGTTGGTCGCGGCGACCATGAAAAATACTAACAATGGTGCATGATGGTGCACAAGCAGCTAACACGAGAAATGAAGTTCGTGGAATCGAATACACGAATGGTTCACACGACAGGAAACTTTCTTGCAGACCAAACGTAAGGCCCGTTACGCATTGTTGACCAGTCTTCAGCGACCAGAACGTCGACCAACCATTCGGGTTTAAGAGGGAATATGAACCGTCGTTGCGCAGTGCCGACCAGTCGCCAGCGACCAAGGATTCTATTCATGAAATGGTTTCGTATACGTAAACGGTAAGTTTCGAATGAACGCCATGGAAAATCCCTAGAACAATGTTCTTAACAATCGTCCCAAGTCTAACGTCTAACTTATATGTACATATATTATTTTTCATTTACGATCTAACAAACTTCTTTATACCAGTTTATTTCAGTGATATAAATAAGAAAAACAAAATCAAAAAAAGAAAGAAGAAAAAAAGTAGCAAAAATAAACACATGGTTATGCAATATTGATATTTAATTGATCGTAGAAAAATATATGAGTTTTTCTTTTTCTTTTTTATTAATTTATTTTCTTTCAAAAATTGTATTTAATAAATATCACTTACGACAAACGCAGCAATTATTTTTTTTCCCCCACAACGTTTCTACATTCTGATGATATATATTAATTTAAAA